TATATATATATATGTATATATTAGGGTAATGTTGGGGAGAATGGAAGAGAAAAGAGAAACTACAGGGATGATATAGGGGTTATATATGGCTTATATAGGATAGTTAACGTCAAGAAGGTGATGTACACGGAGCCGAGAGACGAGAGACATGACTGAGAAAAGCGGGGCGCCTCATTCGCGACTGCCGGCCTGCACAGCTCTGCGGGCTGTGGGGAATCTCTGGCTCTTCTTCTTGCCATCCTGGACTCTGGGTTCTTGTTGAATTACTATTAAAAAAGATCTCTTTTTTTATTGATATTGGACCCAGGTATCCATAAACATGTAAAATTTTGTTCTACAAGAGCCCAGGATTGCCCACTATCGGACCATAGAACGAGATAGTTCCTATTCGCATGCTATGCCCTGCTATGCTAGCGGCAACATGAATACGAGACGAGCGGCTGGCGCGGAGCTTCTCAACTATGTCTCGCCAGTTGGACAGAGCCACAGTGGATGTTCCGGGGTCCAAGTCCGGAGTGTCCTAGCCGTGCGCCGACCCAATGCTGGAAAACACATGCCAAGTTCATGTAACTTTCCGAGCCTTACCCTTGTTCTACTGGACAACCAGCCCTCACAAGCTAGAAGTGTTGGAGTTCACAAGCTGTCCTGCAGCAACGGCGGCGGATCTGCGGGCTCAGGGTAAGTCTCCTGCGTGGGAGACCGCGCGTGCATGGCTTAGGACAAGCGCGAAACTGTTACATCTAAGCCTGTTCATACCTTCTCATCGTGCCTCACTAGATTTTTGTTCATGTGGCCTGTAGCTTTGTGCACTTGGAGACTGGCTTTGGCTCCCAACTTGCTATCATGCCGTCGCTCACTCAGACTCATGATTTTGGTCTGCTCTGCTGTCTGTGTTGCAGCAGCGTTTCGTTTTTCCGCCACTTCCAGTGGCATCTGGCATGATGAGGCACCTGCCGGAAAGTCCTGTCCTGCGCCGTGGGGGTAGCCAAGGCCCGGAGCTGGCAGAAAGTCCTTAATCAGGAAATGTTACAAAGATGGGCAGCCGCATGGGCTGTACAGGCTTGCTTGTGGATCTGGGAATTTATGTGCCTGAATGTCCATCCCTTAGGTGAAGGGAAGACCCAAAGAGCCCATTTGAGGTTCCATGTCAACAGGATGTGATCGCAGCAAATCTAATATAGGGGCCAAACTAATTACCAATATTATGGTCTCATATAAGTATAATCTAGGGTACCTCAAATGGACCTCAAAATTATGTTGGTAATTATTTAGCCCAATATACCCTACTATAATCCCTATAATCCTGAGAGTTTCCATTTTCTTGTCCATTATCCCTATATAACCCCCCGAAACCTTGAACCCCAAACCCTGAACCCTAAAACCCTGAACCCTCAACCCTAAAACCCCGAACCCTGAAACCCAAACCCTAAATAAACCTTCAACCTCGTTTGAAGAAACTTGGTCGTCCCA